GTAGGAAGGCTGAATCCATCTGCTCGCTCAGCTGTTTCCTGGGCCTTTCAAACTTCAGTTCTTTCTCTATAAACCCAGAGAAAGGCCTCACCCGTTCCCATCCACCCACTCCACCTCCCCCAGCCAGCCTGCAGAGTTTTCTGGACAAAACCCAGCAACGTGTACCTTGAAATTATCTCCAATCCATGTGGCTAAACTACTTTCCGCAGGGTTGGGTACATCAGGACAACACAGACGAGTCAACCGGCTATGAAGAGATGAGATTTTAGAAGAGGGGGTGAGTTCAGGACATGATCCATGAGTAGTGAGCGGCTGAGCTAAGGGCAAGGCTTACTAAAGGCAACTGCATGACTCCCTATTCAAGAAGAGCATGGATATTTGAATCAGAATGGCCTCCATAGGCTCATATGTTTGAGTACTTGGCCCCCAGTTGGTGGAACTGTTTGGGAATGACTGAGAGTGCATGACCTTGTACAAGGAGGTGTGTCACTGGGGGCAGGCCTTGAGATTTCAGAAGCCCACACATCTCGGTTACATATGGCTGTGTCTCAAGATGTGAGCACTCAGCTACTGCTCCAGAGCCGATCCAGCCTCACTGCCGCCATGCTCCCTATCATAACGGTCATGGACTCTAACCCTCTGAAACTGTAAGTCTCCAACAAAACCTTTACAAGCTGCCTTGATATAGTGTCTTACCACAGCAATAGAAAATAGAAAATAAAAGACAGAAGGCAATTGTACAGCTCCCTTTTCAATAAGGGCAAGCTTCCACACGGCGGGAAATATGAAGCAGTTGTCTGTGGGACAACACAGGAGACACATGCTTCCCCCATGTAATTATATCCTTCCTGCCTTTCTCCATCACCCCTGTATCTCTACCCTGGTCCTGATGTTGGAAATTGCATTACAGTCACTCTAGGCAGATATATTCTTGGGAGCAGCTAATACACTAACTACCCACACTTCTACATAGTGGTTCCCAAAGTATGTTCCCAACTTCAGCACCAACATCAACAGCTAATCAAAATACAGATTCTTAGTCTTTATCCAGAACTCTGAGTCAGAAACCCTTGGGGGCAGGACCTGATTTTGACATGTGCCAAAGATGGTTGCTCAAGAGCATGACGTACAAAAATTTGTGCTGTGACTTGGCTGCACCATACTGTTGGTAACTGAGGTTGACATTAGCTTAATCATGAACGAGTCCCAGCTGCTGGGCAGAGAAAGCTCCCTGGGACCAGTGTAGCACGCTCTATCAAAGAGGAACACCAGGGCAGCCTAAGGCTCCCTGCTGGGAGAAATGTAGATTTCTTTCCCCACGCTGGCAAGAGCAGGCAGGACTCCAACTCTGCACCACAGAGGACAGATATGTGTTCTCACCCAGCTAACACCCAGAGTCAGTCTCCCCTCACTCTAGACTCAGGTGATAGACATTGGCAGACAGAGCCTTTGGGGCAGCTGGCTCTCCTCAGCCTCAGAGGAATCTAGACTTGGTGGACGGACCTGTACAAATAAGTCCTCTTGATTGTCAGAGTCCTGATGAGTCTGAGGGTGCTGCCTTTAATTGTGTCCACCAAGGTGGACCAAATGAATGAGTGAACAGAACCCCCCTCAGGGTGGAGTACCCTCTGACACCATGTACCACGATGCCTTCCACGGCTTTCTGCTGCTCACTTTTAAGGCATCCACTGTCAATTATAAACTCACTTTGGCTTTTTGAGAGCAGAAGTCACTGTGAAGATGCTAAGTAGAAGAAGGCCTCCTCCGACCAGAGATGATAGGCAGATAATTTCAAGGATACCTTTGCAACAAAGAGAACAAAATACCATTGTCAATATAGTTCCCCTGTTCATTGACAAGAATCAAATATTAACTTTTTCTTTTAGACTCAGCAACAATTCTCATCAATTTTCTGCTATTTGAATTAAATTTCTTTCTATTAAAACCACTGGGATTTTGGTTCCCCATCTAGCTGTCTTTCCCCCATGTAATAGGGTAGATATTGATATACTTTATTTTGTATTAGTATAGATTACTTATACAGAATACTGGGTTTCATTATGGTGTCTTCAAATATTACACATTATATATTGGTAAATGTGTTCACCAGGGTCATCCTCCAAATTCATTCATTTACTCAGTACTTACTGAGCATAATAACTATTGGCCAGACATCATTCTGAGAAATAAAACAAACAAATAAACAAGAAATATCGGATCCTCACTCACATGGTCCTTATATACCGGGGTAGAAAACCTCACACAGTAAAACCCTGACAGTTAATCTTTGACTGTTGGTTTGACTGGACTGAGAGATGTCTACAGAACAGTAAAAACATGCTTCTGTGTGTCTGTGAGGGTGTGTTCAGAGGACTGCCACGGGAGAACAACCTAAGGGAAGACCCCCACCCCCACCCCGATTGTAGGCAGGACCATCGGATATGCTGGGCCCCAGATGTGATAAATGTAGAAAAAGAGAAGGCCAGTCAGTAAACACAAGTTCCTTCTTCCTGATCATGAACGTTGATTGCTGGGGCCATTATCTGTGGATTTCAGACTTCAGTGTAGTAAGTCTTTGGACATGGACTCACCCTAGCAACTCTCCAGAGAGCTTCCAGGTCCAGCTTTAGATGGGGACTGCGTCATTAAGCCCAACTCTTATTCTAAAGACTCTAACTTCTAAGACTGAGCAGCTACCAGGGTCTCCGCTTCGGCAGCATACCGATGGCCACTGCTGGAAAGTCTAACTTCCAATCACATAAACCATATCAGTTCTGTTCTTCTAGGGAATCCTAAGTAAGAGTACTTCAAATAGAATAATCAAATAGAGCAACTAGGGTAAGCTGGTGGGAGGTTAACAACTTAATCTTGCATGTATGTATGGACCATTTATTTAATTTTTCAGATAGGGTCTCACTGTGTAGCCAGAGTGGCCTGCACTCACCGTGTAGGCTGAGCCTTACACTTCACATCTTCCTGCCTCTGCCCCGAGTGCCGAGGCTGGTGTGCAGCACCACACCTGGCTAGATGTGATCACGAGAAAGAGCCTGCCCTGCACAGTTACGGAGAAAAGCACTCCAGAGATGCGCACAAGCTTTGGAGAAGGAGTGAGTTAGAGAAACAGAGGCAGGAAGGGAGAGGAAATGAAGTAAGGGGTGGACAGAGACCGGTGGGCTTTCCACAGGGCATCTAGAACTTTAAACTGGGGCTGCTGTGTCTGAGTGGGTGGTAGAGGGCTGAGAGATAGTTAAGGGCACCAGCTGCTCTTGCAGAGGACCCAGGTCCAGCTCTCAACACCCATATGGCTGCTCACAACTGCCTGGAACTTAAGTTCCAGGTGATTCGAACTCTCTTCTGACCTAAGAAGGCTCTTACATGCACGTGGTTCACATAAATTCACTCAGCTAATCCAGCATGATCATAGAGTGGCCTGTAACCTAATCTATAGGTCAAGGAGAGACAGCCTAGGCTCCAACACAGGATCTTGCCTTCAGTTTGATCCTGAGAGAAAATTCCATGAGCTGACACAGCTTGCACGCAGTGCTCTGAAAACACAACATGATTTTTTAAAAGGATTTTTTCAAAAGCAGTATCAAAGAAAATTCCAAGAAGGCATTGCTTGCCCACAGAATGGAACATGTTTTCTGTGTGAAGGCATATGCTCCGCTCATAGTTTCCAGAGCCACAAGTCTACTTTATTCTTTCAGAATATAAATAACAAGAGGATTTTGAGATGCTTCAAGAAGACATTTTTTTGGCTTATACTAGTTATTGCAAAACTTGGCAGTGTTCCTTGGTTTTTGTTTTTGTTTTTCCAGTTTTTTGAGATAGAGTCCTTCTGTGTAGCCCTGGCTGTCCTAGAACTCACTCTGCAGACCAGGCTTTTCTCTTCTTTTTCCTTCATCTATTACATTCCCACTGCTTTCCTATTAAATATCTTCCTTAGCCAACCACCATATGAAACTACTGTATTTTACATTGTTACTCCTATCAAATTTTTCCTGCTTTCTGTGTTTTCAATGCAGAAGCTGGTGAGTTGCACACACACATCTTTTTGCCCCCAAACCCCACAGATGGTAACATTAAGTCTCTTCCTGCTCATCAGTGACCTTTGATCAACTAACATTCCCTTGCAAGGGTCTCTTGCACAAGTCCTGACATTTAGAAACTCGTGAGTGTGAGGTAGGATGACAACCTGTCATGGAACTACTCACGATTGAGGAGGAAGTTGATGGCTCCCCCCAAAGGTTATTTGGGGCTTCCTATCAGGAAGGAGGAGCAAACTAACAGTCTGTCTGACTCAGCCCTCAGTGCTCCCCGGCAGTTTCTTACTGTTCATCTCCCAGGGAGGTGATTGAGCCAGAGAGCACACAAGGCGTCACTGCTGCATTCTGCTGGCTTCCCTGCTCTTGACAAATGGCATTTCCAACACAATGTAAACTCTACAAGGAGGCCTGAAGTTAGTACTCACTGATTGATAATGTCCTGAAGTTGATTATGTTCCCACTCTTTCCCCCAGCTCCAGTCTTGGCCTCAACCCAAACAGTATAAGAGGTCCTTCGTGTCAGGGACTCCAGGTCATACTGCAGGACACGGGCGTCGACTGTCTTGGCTGAAGGGAAAAACAGAAGCTGAACAATACAGCAAGCCAAACTGAAAATGTGCGTTAGTACTGACCCTAGAAGCCCTGACCTGCAAGTCTAGCCGGCCCCCTCTCAACTCCTGCTGAAAACAAGTCCATCGAGATGGACCAAAGACCTAAATACAAGAGTGAAAAACATAAAACCCTTCAAAAGCCAAAATAAGTAAATCACAACTTTGAATTGTGAATTGTTTTTGAAATATGATACCCAAAGCACAAGCAACTACATAGAACAATACTAAACTGAACTTCATTAAAATTAAAAAGCTTTTGTTCATCAAAAGACATCGTAAGACTGAAATAACTATCTACAAAATTGAAGAAAGTATTTGTAAGTTACATATTTGATAAGGAGCTTATACTCAGAATATAATGGGTTCATAACTCAAAGTCACACAGATAACTCAATGTTAAAACGGGTGAACAAATTAAGAGGACGTTTCTCTGAAGAAGACACAGTGGCCAACAGCTCCACAAGGCTGCTCCATATCCTTGGTGGCCAGGGACAAACAGTTTTCTAAATGAGGTCCCCCTTGGGACCACATGCTGTACGACTTACTTATTTTATTTTGCGGTGAACTCAAAGCCTCGTGCATGCTAGATAAGGGCTTGGACTATGAGCTGCCCCCTCAGCCCTGATTACTTTTTTAAAATAATCTGAATGCACAGTCTATAGACACAGTCTGGTAGTCACCAGAGGCTGTGGGAGGAGGGGGGTGGGGAGTGACCGATTAAAGAATATAGAGCTCCATATGGAGAGGGAATACAGAAAGGTGATAACTACACAGTATGGTAAATGTTCTTAAGACCTTAGAATGTTTATTGCTAAATTTTACATTATGTCTACTCCACCATAATGTCAAATTTAGCCTAACTGGGAATCCAAGCATAGCTCAGTTTACTATGTGAAGAAGATGCTGTGGACTCAAGAATAAAGCACTGGGCAGCGGGCAGTAGAACCCAAGCTTAAAGAGCTCTGCAGTGGCCGGGCGGTGGTGGCGCACACCTGTAATCCCAGCACTCAGGAGGCAGAGTCAGGCGGATCTCTGGGAGTTCGAGGCCAGCCTGGGCTACAGAGCGAGATCCAGGTCAGGCTCCAAAGCTACACAGAGAAACCCTGTCTCGAAAAAACAAAGAAACAAAAACAAAAGGAGCTCTGCAGCAAGGCAAGGGCCACCAAATGTCCCCACATATGGACCCATTCTAAGCTGAGCAGATCCCGCCAGAAGTAATGGTCATAAAAGTCTGAGGGGTGAGTCAAAGCACTCCGTGACTGCACAGGAGAAACCACCCCACCCCCCACCCCCATGTCGGGTTTATTCACATCATCTGTGGGGAGAGGTCGATTGAGTTTCCTCAACTTGAGCACACTTACAGAATGTTTCTCCACCTTCAGCTTGGTAAAATATGGTGTAATTGTTGATAAATCCATTTCTTTCACTCTTGGGAATCTCTTCCCATATGATTGTGGCGGTCTTCAGACCAATGTTCTCTGCCCAGGTCTTAGGACCTTCTTTTGGAGCTTCAGAGGACAGGGAGATTAAACAAACAAACAAACAGAAACCAAGGCTGAATCACACCCTGGAAGATCCACCCCTGCCCAACCAGAGCTGCTACCATTGTCCAAGCAAGACCCACAAAGGTAACTGAATTGGCGGGGGATGGGGACGAGAGAGGGGGGGACACGGATGACAGACGGACGGACGAACTGATACATCAACTTGTTTGTAGAGATTGTTTGTTTTGTTCTCGGTCGGGAATCTTATATAAGACAACAAGGCGTTTCTAAGCCCCAAGAAGACGTACTTTCTTACAGGTCCCCCATTCCAATCAGCATCCAGCTTTCTTTCCTATCTGTAAAGCATGAGCAGCTGAAGACTAACTTCCCTGGCCAACCATTCCATATACAGCAGGAGAGTTTCCAGTGTTGAATCTAGAAGATGCGGACTTTCAAAAAGATGAAATAACGTCTGAGTAATGTATCAGTGAAGTCCTTGCTTATTGTTTCATAAAAGTCATTTGGGGGGGCTCTAAGATAGCCCAGTTGGTAAAGCACTTGCCAGGCAAGCATGAGGTGTGGAAAAAGCTGACCATGTGGCCACTGCTTGTAATGTCAGAGCTGAAGAGGCAGAGACAGACAGATAGCTGGGGCTTGCTGGCCAGCCAGCCTGGACTAATGTACAAGCCCCAGGTCCCAGGGAGACAGTCTCAAACACCAAACAAGGTGGATGGCTCCTGAAGGATGACAAGTGAGATCGACATCTGACCTCCATGCATGTGCACCAAAACACACGCGACCAACAGGTATGCACACACCTGCACACACTCAACAGGGAATCATTTTCAACTTGGGTCTGATGAACTTGGTAGGCTTCCTGAATCAATCTCAATGAAAGTTAACTTCGGTTACATCGCGAGTTGCTATTTCGTTGTGATGTTAGGTAAGGAGTTTCACCTCCATGAACCTCGATTTCCCATTTGGGAAGGTGGGAAGTGGCTGGATCTGTTGAATGCTTTACATCTACCCACCTTTGACTGTAACCTGGGCCCCAGTGTGTCAAGCACACACAGTTGAAGGGGAAGATTAGGGTGTGGTCGAAATGGTCCTTCAGACAACTCAGCACCTGAATCTATAGAAGTGTGTCCCCACCCCCCAAGGTTGGTCCACACATACCGTCTTCTCTGGCATACACTTGGATTGTACGTGGCTCTCCCACTTGTTGCCCCAACACTGGATACACTGATATGTTATAGCACACGAGAGGCTTTAGTTTATCTTGAGGGGAGGGGAGGGAGAGAGAGAGAGCCGCATCAGTACACATAATGGCAGAACAGCGGACATGAAGGACTGAGTTGTGTCCTAAGACCCCCAGGAGACCTTCTGTTCTCTAGGTGAGATGGTCTCTAACATCCACTCTGGCTCTAGAATGTTCTAACTAGCTCCCAGAACTAAGCTGAGGACAATTCTAATAAAATCACAGCTCCATCATGAACAGGGAGAAAAGCCAGTCAGTCCTTCCTCCCCCATCACTGATTTTATCATATGATTTGGGCATGTGCTGAATAAAATCTAACCCCTCTGACAACAGCCTGAATTCCAGCTCCTCTACCCGCCTGTGTTCCTTTATAAGGCTTTTTGTGTGTTTTTGGAGACGAAGTCTCGTGATAAGGCCAGGCTAGCCTTAAACTCAGTACCCTCCACTTGCCTCAGCCTCCTCCAGAGAGCTGGGATTATAAATACACACCGCCATGCCTGACTATATATTTCTTAATATAGATGCTACTAAGTACTGGGAGGCAGCTGTAGTACGGAGACTTCAGAGGCAAAGCTGGCCTTATACCTTACGTGGGGAACGGACTTTCTGGGAATGAAGCCTATTTACTCCGTCGGTCACTGAGGGAGGGCCACTGAGACAGAATGGAGTTTCCGAGGTAGGACATTTGGTACCCAAAGTCTGGTGTTACCCCAGGATAATCGGGGCTCTCCTCGGGTAAGTGTCAAGATTCTGTTTCTTTTGGACATGATGGGCCCACCGCATTCATGAGTTCACAGTCGCTGCGGTCACTTGCCTGAGACCAAACTAGTCAACATTCCAGCATGAAGTGGGGGGACCCATGGGACCCACCCCCAGCTGGGGCACTATTGTGGACCGCTGCCGGCTGACAGAGGAAGGAGAGTCAGCTTTCTTCAAGGGTGTGTCCCCACCCGCAGTGGGTCACCCCTACCCAGTGGATGGCCACACTTATGCCTATGTGGGCAGTGCTAATGAGACTCTGGGTTATTAAAAAAATAAGAGGGAAAAAGGGAGGAACAGAAAGATGGGAGGGGTGGGGGAAGTGGGGGGGGGAATCTGGGAGGAGTAGGACAGACATGGGACAGTGAGGAGGAGGAGTCAGACATGGGACAGTGAGGAGGAGGGGGAGTCAGACATGGGACAGGGAGGATGAGGAGGAGTCAGACATGGGACAGTGAGGAGGAGGAAGAGGAGGAGGACAGACGGACATAGGCAAATGCATTGTATGTTCACATGAAATTATCAGCTCAATTATACATTTTAAAAAGCCTTCCTTTTCTAGGTAAATTACGGTTAGCACTGGCAGGCTTAGTGAGCATCATTATTTCCTGCGTCTCCTTTAACATGTGAGGCTAAGATTGTGTGCACTTCCCACCTGGGGACAGGCTTTCTCTGCCAGCTTCGCCGGGGAACGCTGCGCGCCGTGACAGGGACTAAACTTCTCCAGGGCCGCCCTCACAAAGGGCTTTAAAAGCTGCTTGAAAGGAAACCAAAACCTGCACCAAGGGAGCCTGCGGGTTCTGGGCCGGCTACCTCGCTCGACGGTCCAGTGTGTGACCCGAGACACGGCTTCCCAGGAAGGGAACTCGGACGGGACGGTTTCCGGGAACCACTCCACCACCCAAGTGTCCACCTCAGGAATGGTGCTCTGCCACGTCAGCACCAGCAGGGGCTCCGCCAGGCGGGCTTCCAGGTCGCGGATGCACTGGATGGCTGGAGAGAGAGGAAAGGACGCGCCCACAGCTGCCACACCCAGCCCACAGGTGCCGGACTGGCATCCTGCCAACGCCAGATTGCCAGACGCCCCACGGTAGCTCCTCCCACTTTATTTTCAGCCTTTTCCCTTTTCTTTACCAAATACCTCTGATGATTGCAAGGCTTCTTAATCTGCTTTTACCTCCTCCTAAACTCAGCAGTTTCCAGAAACAGAGCTCACTAGTGGCTTATGTCCCATGCATTCCCTTTAAGTCAAAAACAGGAATGGAAACCTAGTCTCATCCCTAAAAGCTGCAGCTCACGATCTCCTTTCCCAGACTGGCTCTGTATTTGAGATCCCACTTGCTACTCCTGGACGAAAGCCGGGTAATCTGTCCGCCTGGAAAGGCAGCTCTGAGAAAAGTAAGGCTTGAAGATGTGATGCTGAGGCAGAGCCAGAGCCAGGCCCAGAAGCACAGAGCCTGGGCATTATTGCCACCTCTTCCGCAGGATTCCTGCTTCTCCTCTCCACCCCCCTTCCCACCTCCCCTGCCTCCTCCTGTCTCCCCCTAACTCCCTCTGTCCTCCCCTGCCTCCCCCTGCCTCCTCCTGCCTCCCCCTGTCGTCCCCTTCCTCCACTGCCTTCCCCTTGCCTCCCCCTGACTCCCCTGCCCTCCCCTTGCCTCCCCTGCCTCTTCCTGCCTCCCCCTGTACTCTCCTGCCTCCTCCTGCCTCCCCCTGCCTCCCCCTGCCCACATCTGTTAAGAGTCAATGAGTATCCTCTGAAATGATATCCCCAGTGCTATAGAAAATGACTTCCCGTGAAAATGGGACCCCCATAGATGTGGTGTGGATGGCGGGCCCTGCATTCAACGTAACTGATGTCCTTAGGAGAAAGGGAGACCAGGGGAGGGCGAGGCCGGGGGAGATGGCTCAGTCAGTACCGTGCTTGAGGAACTGAGTTTGATCCCCAACACCCACATAAAACGCTGAGTTCAGGGGACAGAGACAGGAGAATTCTTACAGTCACCTAGTTAGCTGGTTGAGCCAAGCTGGTGAGCTCCACGATCAGTGGCTGACCCTGTCCCTTCACGGCTGGGATGGCCGAGCAGGAAAGAGGACTGTGGCTCCCGCAGAAGACTGGAGTTGGTCCCCAGCACTGGGTGTTCCCAAGTGCCCGTAACTCCTGCTCCAGGGGGTCCAATGCCTCGGGCCTACATGGGCACCTACACTCACATGCACATACCCACATAGAGGCACACACACATACTCATAATTAAAAATAATAGAAAACAATCTAGGAGCGTGGGGTGGTGCATGCCTTTAACCTCAGCACTTGGGAGACAGCGGCAGGAGGATCTTCTTTGAGGCCAGCTTGGTCTACATAACAAGTTTCAATATAACCAGGATGACATAGAGAAACTCTGCCTCAAAACATACACACACACACACACACACACACACACACACACACACACACACACGCAGGCACACACCGCACAATCTTAAAAAACAAAGTGGAGAGCAGTTAAAGAAGACAGCTGATGTCTGTCTCTGGCCTCCACACATGGATACAAACTAACATGAACAGAAACATACAAAAGAAAAGAGAAAAGAAAAGGAAGGAAAGGAAGAGAGAGAGAGAGAGAGAGAGAGAGAGAGAGAGAGAAGGAGGAAGAGCACTTGGAGATATTGGAACTGCCCCAAGCCAGGGCCTAGGGCCACAAGAAGTGTGGAAATGCTACAAGCTGTAGGAAAACATAATGAAATTCAGCTACTATCACAAAAGCTACTACTTGGAAAAGTCAAGGACTTCTCCAGAGGTCAAGCCACCGCTTAAGGAGTCTTGCTGATAGTTTAGCTTTTGTATATATAGTAGCTGGTTCCTAAAATTATTTTCTTGTGTGTTTCCAAGAACTCCTAACAGTGTATTTGTCTAAAACACCTATCAAGCGTCCAAGGCCATATGAAACAACACCTGTCTCCTAGGTCAGGCGGATAGCTTTATTTCTTGTGCGATTTAGGGTGAGACCCTCCTTTCTTATACAACCTTACTAATAGACCCCAAACTTCTTACCTAACCTCTTCTCGGAATGTAGACTGAGCACATAGACCCCTTTTTTCATACACTAACTCGTCATTAGCACTCGGTTGACCTCTTTGACCACTCCCATTTTGGATTATAAAAGAAAGCCTGGTGGTCATTGCCTGAGGAAGATTCTTGCCTGCTTTTGTGACCCTGTAGAATTCAAGCCTGGTGGCCTTGCTCGACCAGGGCCTTGCTACTGCTTGGGTTTATCACTGGATTACTGGGAGACTTAGGAGGAATGTGGAGAACGGAGAGATGGAGAATGGGGAGGGATACGGAGGATTTTGACCAGAGAGTACATGTGGACGAGATGGAAGATGAGGAAGAGTCAGATGGGGAAGTCCTCGCTGTGTAAGAACAAGGTGAAAAGGACCTAGATGAGGCAGAATTAAGACGAGAGAATTAAGATAGAACTTAGAGGGAGCAGTAGATGAATATAGAGAGAAATCAGGCAAGAAAGGAGCTAGGCACGAGAACAGAACTGAAGCTGTGTATAAAGGATCTTATGTCAGAGGAACTAAAGCAAGTGGACGATAGAGCTCGGTGTGCTGAGATTCTATTTCCTGAAAATAGTCCTCGACGTTAGTAGTTCTCTCTCCTGAGCCCCTGGGATGTATAATATTAAGGCTGGTCCCTCTAATATTATACAAGATGGAAAGATTAAGGAAGGTCCTCTTCTAGGGACTCCGGGGGGAGTATGGTACAGTCTACAACTTTATACCTCTAGCCTCCCAAACCGCAGGGCAGGACAATGTGTTCCTGTTGTTTTAAGCGGCCCAGTTGGTGAGGACAATAAGGTAGTTAGTACCTTAGCTTAATTAGCCTCCTCCCTGCCTGCCTGTCTGCCATACTTCCTCTTCTGGCCTCCTGGAGGCACTTTCTTAACAAGCGACTTGGCAAGGAATCCTGGCCCCGAAGATGAGTGAGCACGGCTTCCAAACCTCACACTCTTCCTGCTCACCAATCCTGGAACTCAGAAAGAGCAGGAGAACCAGGTCTAAGGGGCCAGGTATGAGGCTGAGGAGCAGACATGGGGAGGTTGGAAAGGAGTCGGGAAACTGTGAGTCAGTCATGCAAGAGGGGAGGCCTGGCCGTGATGAGAAGCGCTGAGAGACAGGTTTCTAAGTCATCTATGGAATACAAACTAATTACCAGCCTTCTTCCGTTCCAAATCAAGAGCATCTTGAGCGCCCACTCCTGATACAGGACTCTCTGAAGAGTACGAGGAAAAGAAATGGGCCCTGAAAGCAGGGAAGAGATTGGACTTTGAACATCATCAATGCCGTACAAAGGATGAGAAGACAGCCACCTCCCACCTCCCCACCCTAACCCCTAACCCCAATCTAGCAAATACCATTCTCGGGGCCACCTCCCTCTGCCAGCTCAGACTCACCCCAGCTCTCCCTGACGCAGTTCCCACTGCCCCGCAGGCCCCCTCACCACAAGTGGCTTTGCTTTTCCACATCCTGCATCAGACCACTCCTGCCTGTGACTGAAGACACATAACATTCCGGAAGTTCGAGTAGAGGGACCCTGAAGGGTCATTTCTACCAACCCTTTATTCTAAAGATGAGAACTTGGGGCCCACAGAGGCCAATAACCATCTTGGCTCGTAGAGGGCCTGTGATCAGAATGCCCAAATCACCTTATGAACATTAATTTCACCAGCTTGGTTCATGCAGACCAGCTAAAACTGCACTGGGAAAATCCTGTACAAATTACAAAGCTTTCCTGGATCTTTTCATCATGTAGAAGATAGACCTAACAGTATTAGCATCATGGATCATTTCATGGCTGAGCTAGCCTGTGCCACCTTACAATGCCTGACCTAGCCTAACGCACAACATGTGCTGATCATATGAATTCAATGAAAGGTAAGCATCAAAATTATTATTACTTAATTCTTTCCTAGCTGATTTTATTTTATTAAACAAAATTTTGTAGAGTCTTAGGTTTCTGTGATATATTATGACAAAGACTGACAAAGTAGCCAGAGGTATGATAGACATTATCTTTTCCTGTGTCTCCATGCACATGCACGGATAATGCCTTTGACACACATGTGTACCACACTGAACAGCTGCTCTTGTCAGTGGTCACTGATAATGAAAAAGAATGATTTAAGCTTTTCTAGTTGTCTATGACAACGTTCTGCGAACTTCCTCTATAACGAGCCAGACGATAAGCATTTTAGTGTGCACTGGCTACATAATTCACAATTATTTATTATCCCTAACTGTTAGACAAAGAAGCCACAGAGCACATGTAAAGATCCACATGGATATGGCAGTATTTCAAAAAGTTCGTCTGCAAAAAACAAAAATGTGTTAGGCCAGATCTGGCCAATACCTTGTCTAGGACCATGGTAGGCAATAGTTCCAATATAAAATCCAAAAAGAAAAATCCTAAGTGAATTTAGCATCACTTTAGTTGAAGTGCCTCTTATAGTGTTTTTAAGTTGACAATTCATACCTAATACAAATGTAACTAACCAGAACTTTATTAAGAATGGTGGTAGTGGGCTGTGGATATAACCCAGTAACTCAGTGGTAGAGAGCTTTGCTGTGTAGCACCCATAAGGTCCTGTGTTTAACTCCCAGCACTGGAGATGGAGAAGATGAGACCGAGACAGCGATGGAGACACAGAGACAAAGAGACATACACAAAGAGAACACTGACGATTGGCCCAGAGATGTAACTCAATTGGTAGTGTTTGCCTAGCACAAATGAGACCTGGGTTCAGTCCTGGGCACAGCACAAACCTGGTTTGGTAGTACACTTGGGAAGAAGAAACATGGGTGTCAGAACCTCCAGGCCATCCTCTGCCTTGTGAGTCTGAGGAGTGCTCAGTTACATGAGACCCTGTCTCCAAACAACAAAAGCCGTAATGATCAGCACTAGATCTCCAGAGAGGATCTCATTCACTCCTCGCAACGGTTTTCTGAGACAAGTGTATTATGAAAGAGTTCCAGTTTACATGCATCTTAAAGAGGTTAGATAGCTTGTCCAATGGTAATGTTACCTGTGGAAGAGCAAAGATTTGAACCCGGGGCTGCTGGACTCCAAGGACCATGCTTCCCTCCCCTGTTCTCTATTGCTTCCCATTATGGGGCCATGGTGGGAAGTGAGGGTAATTCATTTTGGCAGTACCTCCATTAAACAAAGAATCCATAGTCCAATCACATAACATTTATTGAAAATGTTACTAGACTCCCAGACACTGGAACAAGGATGTTAAGAACCAGGGGGGTGTGGTGGCACACGCCTTTAATCCCAGCCTCAGCAGGCAGAGGCAGGCGGATCTCTGAGTTTGAGGACAGCCTGGTCTACAGAGGGAGATCCAGGACAGCCGGGGCTGTTACACAGAGAAACCCTGTCTCGATACTATTAAACACTGACTCAAAACACAAAATGATGAGCTTCCCAGAATTCTAAAATGAAGGCAGAAGTGGATTGGGTTTAAGAAAAGAAAGGGAAGGACAGGCAGAGAAGTCTGGAGCTTGCTACACAAATGCCCGCGCCAGGCTGGGCTGAGCAAACAGAGGCGTAAATTAGAGAGACCAGCTCTTAGATGTCTACGCCAGCTGCTTATGTTATTCGGCACGTCAGAAATGATATTTCAAAAAAGGAAACAAACAAACAAAATCTGGCAAACGTGCAAACGAAACCCTGCCCCCTGGGTCCACTAAAGAGTAATTGGGCAACACACACTGGATTTACAAGGGAGTGGGGTGGGGGAGGGGGGCCACAGAAGGAGACAATTCTAATTTGGGAGAAGTAAGGAGGTTGAGGGAGAGGGTGGATCTGGGAGGAGTTAGAAGAAGGGATGAATGTGGTCAAAACACATCGTATGATGTTCTCAAGAATTAATAATAAAAATATTATTTTTAAAAAACGACTGCTGTTAGCATTTAGACATTACCTGGTCCGCCCCTTGGGGACCTGGTAGGATGCTCTTGCTAATATTCAGGCAAATGCCTAGACAGCCCAGATGGTCCTAGTCTGTGCACATGTGCGGCATGGCTGCATAGTCTGTATACGCATGAGCTAACTCCCCTTGTTAAAGGCAAACCTATATATACCCCCACTCCTTTCTCTCTTCCCATGAGGCCGAGTCTTCACCTCCTCTCTTCCCATCTCTTCTCTTCCTTTCTCTTCCTCTCTTATTCCTCCTCTGCTCAGCCCTCATCTCCAGTGGCGCACTCTGTGTCGTCGTCCCCCCCAATAAATCTCCACATGAGTTCTGTCATGGGCTCCCACCTGCCAAGGTTGCCTTCCTATAACAACTGCCCTGATGGGGTATGCATCCTCTTTAAGGAGAAAATGGAAACAGAGAGAGAGACAGAGACAGAGAGAGACAGAGAGACTGATTGGCTCTAGGTACATATGCAGAGTCCCTTCTATTGTCTGCAAATTTTAAACACAAATCCCAAAGTGAGGACGCTGAGGAGAAACTTCAGCGGGCGCTTGCTATGCAAGTGTGGGGGCTGGGTTTGGATCCCTAGCACACCCACCTAAAAATCCAGGCACTGCCCAGCATGTCTGCAATCATAGCACTGGAGGAAGACAGAAGGGCCCCAGGGAGCTTCCTGCCAGGCAATGTAGTCAATCGGTGAGTTCTGTGTTCAGTGAGAGACCCTAGCCCCGCCTCAGAAAAAGGTGGAGAGTAATCTCAACCTCTGGTCTCCACAGTGAGTGCACACACACACACACACACACACACACACACACACACACACACACACGGACAGCACTCTCTCACGCACAATCCAACAAGGCTTTCTATTCCAAAACATAGAAATAAAAGCTTTGCCACTTTGCCTGGGTTCAGTAAAATGCCCAGAACTACTTCATGGAAGTGTAGACAGAGGCGTGGTGGCTGGTGTCGGTAATACCACCATCCGAGGCGGAAGCAGAAGAGTCTGTAAGTTAGAGGCCAGCTTACAGAGTGAGATCCCATCTCAAAAAAACTAACAAGCAACTTATTGGCAAGTCTATATACACAGCTCAGCAGTTTTCCTAGCTGGGCCATCAGATGGAAGGGAAAGGAGAGAGAACAGGACGGTGAACGCTAAGCCACAGCGGGACAGATGCCATCTGGGATGAAGAGAGTTCAGGAGAGGTCACAGCCATTGAGGACATAGGTCTCAAATACGACTATTGCATGTGGCTCAACCCGGCACGCAACCATTTGGACCAGAACCAACCAAAGCAGCACGCGGCGCTTCTAGGCTCTGACTGTGCTACATGACTCAGTCTCTAAATTCTTAGCACAAGTTTTTCTGCAAAGGAGCTAAGCCCTTACACCCCGAAAGTTATCAGCAGATTCTGTTTCCCCACAGAGTCCTTGTTCCCCAACCCTTCAGCTTGATTCCAGAGGAACAACTACCCCAAGGACACGGACTGCTTCTTCTCCAACCAGATGGGACGAGACACTGGAGGAAGAGGTACTTACTGTCCTCATCGACAGCTGGGATCCTCAGGACGGCCTCTTGGGACTTCCCACGGGAATTAAAAGAAGTCACAGACACGCGGTATGACTGGCCCGTCAGAAGCAGTTCATACTGCTGGTTTGTGACATTGTTTATCTCTGTGAGACTAGTGCTGTTTTCTGCAAAGTACTGTATGTTGTAGCCAAGTGTTCTCTCCAAGACGGGGGCTCCTCTTGCCTTCTGTGTCCAAAGAAAACAAAGGGAATTGCCAATACCAGAAAGAGACAGGCACAATGACAGTCATAAATGGAGCAAGATCATGTTAGCCATCAGACGCTAAGCTATGACCTTTCCAACACAAATAACTTTTGCAGCGTGGTGATGATAACCCTTCAAGTGCCAGAAGAGATTATTTATCAAATGGTACCTTGTAGCATGAATCTTAAAGGGTCTTATTAATAAAAAAAACACAGGAGCCAGATATCGGTGTGAACGCTGAAAGATCAGAGAAACAGAACATCCAACCTCACCTTGCCAATCCCTCAGCTGATCTTGTTTCCTCAGACTGAAAGCCTTTAAGTCCTCACCCAAATGGATCTCAGCTGAACTGCTGCTAAAAGCTAAAAGCTTAAAAAGACTATTAAAAAGAGTACTCACGCCTTATATACCTTTCTGCTTCCTTCCATCATTTCCTGGGATCAAAGACGTGAGTCACCATGCCTGGCTGTTTTCAGTGTGGCTTTGAACTCACAGAGATCCAGATAGATCTCTGCCTCTGGAATGCTAGGATTAAAGGTGTGTGTGTGTGCCACCATTTTCTGACCTCTATGTCTATCTAGTGGCTGTTCTGTTCTCTGACCCCAGATAAGTTTATTAGGGTGCACAATATGTTGGGGGACACAATATCACCACAGTACCTCGGTATCAACTCTTAACACAAGTCCAGTTTCATAGGTCCAAACCAGTATGAGCATGCAACTTCTCTTTTCTTCTGACTCTTTCATTCTATCATGCACAGAGGTATAAAAGCTAAAAAGTCAAGGCATTCCCTTCTGGGCCAAAATCAAGTTCAGAAGTCATCAAATGTTGGTGGGTAGCTGTGCCTTCAACTTTTATTCCCATAGTTCCCCCTCTAAAGAGGGAAGATAACTGTCCTGGGCCAGACATCCAGCTTGGTGATCCAGCTAAAAGGACAAAAATACGCAGGCTTTCCCTCCAGTCCCCTTAGCAGGAAGCCCAGAAACTCTGACTCAAATTCTTATTTCTAGTCTTGAACTTAGGCCCACTGACCAGATGCTTTGCCTAGGAGTAAGCGTACGGAATATTTTCTGGGAAGTATGGGGATTCCAAGTTTTCGGTGTTTATTACTGATTACAAGCATCATGGAGCAGAATGAGTGGATGTGTGTTCAGATAGGGTTTGAATTCACTCGGGCCCAATGTCATCCAGTCCAGGAATTTCCCTTTCATCGACCACAGCTATAAAAGACCAGCTAGAGACTCTAAATGATTAGGGTCCCCGTCTCTCAGGACAAGGCCTCATCTTTCCCCTGTAGCCTTTGCTGATATGGAGCTCATATTTTATCAATGTGGGTTTATTTTCAGGGCTGGGAATTGCATCCACAGCCTCAGCGGCTAGCCAAACACCCTACCACTGAGCCCATCACATTCACTACTTTAATGTGAACAAGTCAGTGATCTTCAAGACGGTCCTAAAATCTCACAACCTTCATCACACTCAGACTTTGGAGTCTTTTAGGGCAAACTTTGCTAAAGGAGTTGAATTCTTAGAAAAACCCCTCCTCCTCCTAAGGCATAGAGGAAACCAGTCCTCTAGCAAGAGGGAGGAGGCGGCAGGCAAGAGAGTCCGGTCCTACTTCCCAGGCTGGCCTCCTGACTCCTACCGACCACAGGATAGCTAAGACCTTGCAAGGGCACACATCATTGGTCACTTTTCTCCCCCAAAACGTGTGAACACAGTCATCTCTTTCCACATTTCACCACATCTGAGATTAGTATCAAAGAGTTCCCAACATCCCTGGCTGTGATTTCCTATGCCCATGCCTCTGCCACCTGAGGCTTTGCCGAGGAGATGGACAAAGGCAGTGCCAGCCCTGCAATAATTGGTTTTGGATGTCACTCAGCAAGCCAGGGTGATGTCTCCATTTCAAACGGTTTAAGTTGCCAAACTTCAGCAAGTAGATTTCTTCCTGATAGCCCTGGAGATACACTGGAGTTCTAACAGCTTTTTCCTCTTCACCTTTTCTTCAACTTCCCATTTTTCTTTTCTGTTTCCTGTAGCTTTTTTCCTAATTGCCCCGTCTTTTCCTATTGACCTCTACACTCTCCTTTTTTATGCTTCTCCCTCCTCTTTCTTATTAGTTCCCCCTCCCCCCTTCCCTGTATCACCTACCGTCTTCTTTCCTCAGGCCCAGGTTTGCGCCCTAGGAAAGATCATATGGCCACTCTTCTGCCTTACCCACCACACTATTCTAACACTTGAAGGAACACTTGTATCAAATGTGTTGGCAAGATCTGACGACCTGATGCCCCAGTGAGTGGACCCCAGTCAGTGCTCTTCTTGGGTGTAAGGATGAGGCTGCAAAATCTTACATTGAACACTAGGGGATGGCAGCCAGGATGGCTTCCTCAGCAAGGCCACAGGGCATCCTGCAGCTGGGCTTTGTAACTGCCCCAATGTTAATGATTCAGATAAAGAACGCAGCCCATGACTGTGATGTGTGTGGGGGCCATCTATGGGGTGACCGAGGGAGAGTTTCTGACCTGCACAGCTGTGAGCTGGGAGACAGCACAAGGACTTATAGGAGGGGGATGTTAGGAGGTAAAACATCAGGAATCACAGTGTTTTAAGGGGAAGGGACCAAAGGTGTTTTTTGTTTTGTTTTGTTTTTCTGGTTTTTTGAGACAGGACTTTTCTTTGTAGCCCTGGCTGTCCTGGAACTTGCTTTGTAGACCAGACTGGTCTCAAGCTCACAGAGATCCACCTGCCTCTGCCTCCCAAGTGCTGGGGTTAAAGGTGTGGGCCACCACCAAAGGTTTTTAACCAGGGGGGTAAGTAAAGGGAGGTCACCTTCCACAGCAACAGCACTTTCCTCACTCCGTTCTCATCTGTCGGTCCCAGGACTCTCCAGAGGTCCAGGACATGGGGCACTGAAAAGAACAAGAGGAAACTCGTAAGTGACAGAAGAGCTTGTGGATAGTCACTGGGCCACTGTGCACCCTGCCCTTGGTAAGGAGATGCTCAAGGGGACAAATGAGGCAGAGAGGAGGGAGTCAGCCTCACAATGCCCAACAAGGTCTTCATTTTGTGGTTGAAGGACTGGAACCAACCACATTGCAAAATAAAACTAACTGCTCTTGGTCTGATAACTTAATAATAATGGAAAGAGGGGAAAGTAAAGTAGGCTTTGTTGGGGTACATCTGGTCCCCTAAAGCTGGGTAGAAATGCAGCATCTTACATCCTCTGACCTTTGACACCTTCCATCTGCAATCAGACCAACGGTGGCAGCAGCTAACTTCCAGCAAGGACCACTGCAGTAAGTGGCGAACCTGGATGGGCTTGCGGACTTCTTATAGCCCCATCACTGTGAGGGTTTGGCATTACCATCCTCATAGAGAAATGAAGGAATTGCCCGATTACACAAGCTTTTGAGTAATACAGCCAGGATCTAAACCCAAGTAGATATGCACAATATGAATAGATATTTAAATAGAGCTTTTCAAATCAATAGGGAGATAGTTCTAATAATCAGTAGGTTGAAAGAAAGAAAAGCATCCTTTCAATTTGGCTTAGAACTTTTTAAATAATTGTAAGGTTTGAGGTGGTATGAATTAGACAGCTAGCAGTTTGTTATGAAATAGGGAAGGGATGGCTTATGAATTGGAAAACAAGAACTTAGGAATCTCTGGGGTTTTGGTCATACAATCATCTATTCCTCTCAGATCTTGAAAAAAAATGAGGAAAAACAAAAGTAGAGGAAATGCTCCACTCAGAGCCAAAGTTCTCCGGGGTTATATGTAAGGGTTGGTCTGATTTAGTCAGCAAATGGCGGCAGCCAGCTGAACTCATAAGCAGGAGGAACAAAAAATTATAATGCTGACTGCAAGAAAAGTTGGGGACAGTTTCATCAGGACATACTGGCCTGAAAAGCAGGCGAGGCTTGAGAATGAGCCATGATAGCACCATGAAAGAAGACTGAGAGCCACAGCAAGGAGATGTGGACAAGCCACAGCCACACTCCGGGTATTACTTAATCACCAAATTCCCTGGTGAAAGGTGTAGCTGAGGAAGAGGCCAGTTTGGGCAAGGACTCCGTAACATGAGGTTCATTGCAATGTTTTTATAGGGAGAGCTCAGCTCAGACACAGCTCTGACTGTTCCAGCACCATTTAGCCATTTCTTACTGTGCATTTTATGTGCTGTTTTATACCTACAGTCATTTGTATTGCTTGAGCATTCAGAGATGATGTGTATAGGATGCGTGCCTAGTGCTTACAATTTTAATTTAAAAAAAAAAAAGCATTCCTTTAATATAGCCATCATTATGCGTTAGGCCTGGTCCTAACACTTAAGCATGTGATTTTGGATTTTCTGTGGTCTCTCCACCACATTACCAGAGCATGTCAGAACTGAATCTCAGATGAGAAGGGTACAATTCCCCAACTGATGCATGAAGCTATATCCATGAAGAGAAAGTTACAGGCTATGCCTGAACACCTCCAAAAGGGAAGGCAAATTCAGATGGGTTCCAGAATCTAATCAAAAGGCTAACGATGGCAAATATTTGATAGTTCCAAGTTGGTCTCAGGGAAACTCAAGCAGGAACAGGAAAAACAAAAAAAACAAAAAACAAAAACATCCTGGGCCACAGGTACAGAAGTTGATTCCAGAGGCCAGTATGTGAATAGACTCGGTCTTTACCTTGCTGTCATTAAAACCATGACCTATTTTCTCGTATTATCACTACATTCATACACTTAGTAGACATTTTTAAGGTTTAAGATGTATAGCTTCAACTTATCATAGGATGTCTTCAGAGGATATGATACCACTTCTTGAGTGTAAGAATCTCATAAGATGGGCTGGAGAGATGGCTCAGCGGTTAAGAGCACTGGCTGCTCTTCCAGAGGTCTTGAGTTCAATTCCCAGCACCCACATGGTGGCTCACAACCATCTATAGTGGGGTCTGATGCCCTCTTCTGGCATAAAGGTGTACATGCAGATAGAGCATTCATATACATAAAATAAATAAATAGAGTTTTTTTAAAAAATCTCCTAAAGAGTATGAGAGATAAGATTTTAGATCTCTGGGAATGAAAAGCTGCTACAGTGACTAAGCCATCCGAGGAGCACGGCTCACTCCCAGGGGTGCAGCGGACACCATCAGTGCTTATGGAGAGGGGACCTGCATGGCATGTGTCAAAACCAGACCCAGGAAGCCCTACGCCAGACTAAGCAGATGAGCAACAGCAGAGCGCGGCTTGCCTTCCTCCGTGGTCACCCCGGTTTCTTCTTTGCTCCAGTGGCTCCAAAATCTTGACTCCTTGACCCTGAATCGCAGAGCTATGACATATTCCGTGAAAGCCTGAAGTCCCATGAGGTTGTAGACCAAGTTATGATTCTTGTAGACCAAGTCATGATCCTCGAAATGGACTTCCGTCTGAAAGACAGAATGGCTTCTGAGCAGAAGGGGAGACTGTGTGTATTATTTTACTGCTTCTCTGCCTCAGCCTCGGTGCTTTCTTGCTGAGACAGTTTATACCTATGTAAGCGTGGATCACACTCCGCATCGCTGCCATGCTCTCCGTTTCCTTTTTGGAAGTTTGTGGGACAGAGAGTCGGGGTTCACTGCCTTTGGAGGTATAATGCAGAACCCCCTGACCAGGGGCCACCCAGTCTTTGGCTTAAACTCCCCAAGTGACTCTGATACCCAGAAGTGTTCAGCCTCACAGAACATGGGGAGGGGAGTGATGACTTATGTGGCATCAGTCTTAGCCCAGATGTTATAGTTAAGTGACCTTGGACGGCCTTGACAGCTGTAGTCATCGAAAGACAGATTTCTTCACTTCTAGACTCGTCCTCTTTAGCCAAGTCTTCTATTCCTAACCATCGCTCTTTGGGTGACCGTTCAAGCTGCTAAAAATCTTGGCAGCCTAGATGTATAAATTCTCACTCTCTTGGGGAGACAAGTCCATCCCTTTCTCTCAAGGTCAACTTCCCGTGAGGAAAATGAGGCTGCTGCTCTACTGAAGCTCTAAAAGTCCCTGGATCTAGTCCCCTTAGGAGAGACAGAAAACTTAGCTTTTTGTTCCTAATCCAGTCACAGCTTCAGCAATAAACCTGGTTAGCTGTTGATTTATAAAACCTACACTGAATCACATGCGCAGGCTGACCCTTCGGTTAGTGTGTGCATAGCATATTCCCATGGTAGCCTGCAGGAGAAGGCAGTCCTGACATTTCTTACATGCATGTAACAGCTATGAAAGCAAGTATGGAATTACGGGTCCTGGAGGAGATTGGGCAAAGGGAACAAGTGAGCATCCCAGGTCCAAAGGCACACTCTTTAATACCAGGGCCAGTAAGATGCGGATGGAGCAAGGAAGTTCAATCCAGAGCCCATGGTAGTTTTGCTGCCAAGGCCCAGGTCCTCTGGGAGACTCTTCTGGAGCAACCAGGAAGACTTAATGGCCACAGGCTAATGTTTAGGGGAGTGAAACTTGGAACTCATCATTAATGCATGAGATCCAGTGGGAGCAGAACTGAGATCATTAGGAGGGCCCATTGATACGAGGTTGGAACGATCGGGTTGAGCTTAGCTGGTCAGGAGCTAGAGACTTGCTTGTGTTTCAAAGTTGAGAAGAGAGAGAAGGCATTGACTGTACATCCAGCTTTGCTTCACATCCTCCAGAAGAGCAGGAAGGAGGCCATCTTACCTCAGGATCAGGAAAGGAGGAGGCAAAGATAACCACAGAAGTAGTGGTTTGTCAAAAGGGTAAAGGAAAAGTGATGGGGGGCAAGGATTGGAAATAGTCTGTATTTGCTCCTTTGGGTTATCCACAGCTTAATAATTTTCAAGATGGATGGACGTCCCAGTTTTTTTTCCCAATGAATCCTATGCCAGAAGCTGTATTGACTCCAGCCTCCATAGAAGGAATCACCTGTTCTTTTACAGAGACATATAAACTTGCTATGATGTGAACTGCCTGGCTTAGGCGGTCCCTAAACAACACACTGCCAGTCACACGTATACAGGCTCTAGGGAAGGGTCCTAGGACTGACTGGCTTAGAAGGAAGCTAGAAGGAGTAGCCAACATCATCTCCTCCTGAACACAGGGCAGATAACATTTAACCCACTTGCTTTTCTGAGAGAATTCCGGACCCTAGGTTACAATAGACATAGTGTATGAGCTTATACAAGGGAATAGGTCCTGTGACAGATGCCTGGATAAATTAAAAACAGGCTGAATGTCATGGTGACTAGACGTAATCCCAGAGGCCTGGAAAACAAATGACAACCAATGAAAGAAGAGTCACTGTCCCTGAGGGTCTGCTGGTTTGCCACGGGGCTCTGAGTCAGTCACCACTTTTATTGACGATAAAGTTATGAAGTTATCAAATCTGAAGGCCTTGAACATCAGAAAGCAAAATGTTAATGATAAGTTTGAAAGAGCAGAATAAAGACTCTAAATAGGCTGAAATGATGGCTGAGACCAACATGAAGAAATCCAAGGGTAATAAAAGGCACTTGAGTTTTGGTTAAGATGCAATAAATTATGAGACAGTAAGATGCATTTTATTTGCAAGCCTTATAAGGAAAATGGTCTTTGAGAGTTAATTGGCTTACTATAGGTTATTGACCATTTTAGTAGTGTGGGGGGGATCACCAAAACAGAAAAGTGATGTCATTTCTACCCGTACTGAAGGACATGGGAGCATGTCTTCTTAGCTCTGAGATAAAAAAAAAAAAAAGATTTCTTAAGATACAAAGAACATTAAACATAAAACAAAAGACTGATAAAAATCCGACAGCATTAAGTTCTGTCCATTATCATCCCTAGAGCCAAGATAGTGGAATCTACATACAAATAAAAGATGTTAAATAGAATACACAAGGAATGCCCACAAGTCAATCAGAAACTCAAACAGAAAACAATGCAGTACAGAAATGTGCAGAGTGCTTAAATCAGCACTCTGAAGAAGGAATCGAAATGGCCGACGAACCATGAAAAGGTTGGTGCAATTTCATTAGAAGTCGGGTAACTGCTAGTTAGAGTGATTCATGCAACGGGAATGTATAAACTGCAGCATTACACAACACGATGTACCTTAACAGTATCATATTAAAGGAACAAAGCCAAACATAAACAAACATAAAATGGCTGTAAGTGCAGGCCTCAGGAGGCCGCAAATGGAAAACGGGCAAGCAGAATAGTCCCTATTCATATTTTTTCTGTCCTCCATGTACAAAGTGAAAAACATAATTCCAGATGAACAAAAGCTGTCAGTGAGGTCTTTCCTGGGGTCTCTCGTAGAAACATCATAGTGGTAACTTACCCAGTGGGTACTGTTGACAGTCCTGAACCGAAGCATGCACATTAGATGATAAACACGAAGCTTTTCACGGGGTCGCCACCGTATCTGGAACATTTGGTTCGAAATCGGATTCACACTTAAAATTATAGGAGGTTCAGTTTTCACTGAAAAAAAAAAAATACAAACGTCATATTTACAGACAGACAGAAGAGGCTAACAACATTCACCCAGAGTTGAGAGCACAGTAAACCTAGGGAGCCAACGACAGTCCACAGCCTGTGGTTCATTATACCCAGATCCATCAGCCATACAGTTGAAAGAGAATGCCTCTCTCCCAAACCCCTCTACCAAAGGAAAGAGCACGCTCAGTCAAAAGAGGATGGCTCCTGTGAATTCTTTGCAAATTAGTTCTTTACTCAATGCCCGGCATAACAGTGGCAAAGCATAAGAACACATTCAATGATGATGATGCAATCATGAGCAAAACGTGGCCTTCAGAAGAAACTATAACTAAATTGTTTATGAAGCGATAATGTAAGCATCTAGCAGGCCTCTGTCCGTGGCCCCCAATGAAGGAGAATGGCCACCAGAAAATGCCTCTCAATTTTCTTGCACACTGCCAACATCATAACCCCAAGTTTCTTTTCTTGAAAATGTGATTTTAGTCAAGCCTGGTGCCTCATATTTATAGCTCCAGAATGTGAGAGACTGAAGTAAGAAGATTCAAACAACTTCTGTATCTGGCTGATACAGACCAAGACCCTGGCCTAAGTAAATAAATACAATTTTTTTTTTAAAAAAATCCTAAAGTAAAAAACAAAAAATGCTTAGTTTCCAAAAAGAATGCCACTCAGCTTCTCCTTAGGTCCCTGTATTAGAAGTTTGGTTTTCACCTGTAGCTACTGAAAGGTTGTGGCACTTTTGGGGGGGGGGAGCCTAGTACGAGGTCTGGAGGGCATCAGGCATTTACCTTAGAAGAGGACAATAGAGCCCTGACCACGTCCTCTCTCGTCTCTTATGTTCTCCAGCCATGAAGTAAATAGCTTCGAAGCAATGGGGCTCCCTAGCATAGACTGAACCCCTAAAATAAGTCCTTTCTCTTTATAAATTGTCTAGAGGTGTGTTATAGTAACATAAGGCTGACTAACACAGTTAACGCCATGTTTAAAAACTACCTCAGGAGGCTAGAGACATGGCTCAGAGTGTGCAGTACCACTGCAGAGGACCCAAGTTCAATTCCCAGCACCCATGTCAGGCAGCTCATAATCACCTTCAGCTCCAGCTCAGGAGGTTCAACCCCTCTGGCCTCCACAAGCACCTGGACCCATGTGCATACACTGACCCCCACGTGCATAATTAAAATGAAATAAACAGGCACCTTTTACAAAGTGAGCTCAATGGGTCAGGCCTGGTAGTACATGCTTATAATCCTTGAGAGGTGGAGGATGTGAGGATTGGGGTTCAAATTTAGTCTTGGCTGTATAGTGTGAGGGCAACCTGCCCCAAAACACTAACATCAAACAAAACAGTTACTTGGAATGGTCCAAATGAAACAAAGTGTAGCAATTTAAAACCTTAAAAGAAAGTACAGCAATCAATTAGGGTTGGTAATGATTTCTTTCTTAGATTTCTTTCTTAGATGCAATACCTGAAGCGCAGGCAATAAAAGACAAACAGAGACATTGATTTCATCAAACTTATTTTGTTGTCTAAAAAGACACCATCAAAAAATTTAAAGGGTTATCCAAACAAAGGGAGAAAATATTTGTAAACCACCTATTCCAAATAGAAAGCAACTTTAAAACAATAGAGCTGGGAAGCGGTCAGTGGGGATGGGAGAAGGAAGGGTAATGGGAAGAATATAATCAAACTGTATTTTAATTGTGTGTGGAAAAGTCATGATGAAAGCCATTGTTAACTGTGATTAGTAAGCCAATAAAATACTTTGAAAAGAAAATAAAAACGGGCAAAATTTTTCAATGAAAAACAGTCACTGCAGATGCCACAATGTCAATCAGGACCACAATGAGGTTCCAATTCACACTCACCAACCAGGACAATTGTGAAAAGGGGGACAGAGTATGTCAGAGAGGATTTGGGGAAGCTGCAACCTCCATCAATAGCCAATGAGAATGGTAAATGGTACGGCCACGTCGACAAAGTGGGGCAAATCTTCAAGAAGTTAAATTGAGTTAGCCACGACACAGCAATTGCAGTAGGTATAGAGCTAAGATAACTTAACATATTTTCAAGCAAAGGTTTATACAAATATTCACAGATGCATTATTTATACTAACCGTAAAGTAGAAACAACCTAACTGTACATTAACTGACAAGTGGATAAACATATGTGATATATCCATTTCATGGGATATAATTCAATCATTAAAATAGAACAGAGTCCTAAAAAGTGACAGACCTTAAAAACATTATAGAAGCCATGTTTTAAAAGGCCACATATTACATGATTCTATTTATATGAAATGTTCCTAACTGGTAAATCTATAGGAATAAAAAAACAGGTTTGAAGTTGTTAGAGGTTAGAGGAAAAGGCAAAGAAATGATTGGGAACTTGCTACTGACAAGTACGAAGTTTCTTGATACATTGAACTTAGTCCTATTACTGAATGAGTGGTGATATTTAAAAATCTCTGTACACATATTAAATCACTGAAATGCACACTTTAGTGCTTTGAATGTGTAGCATATTAATTATATTTAAATAAAGCAGTTACTTTAAGTTATATGGTAAACAAAATGACTTTTCAAAGACGTTTGAAAGAACAGTTGGCAGCGACTCTTTCTGAAAATGAGAGTTCCTCTTTTCTTCACGAGCGATGATGACATGTTGGGGAGGGGCCTGCTTTTTTCTCTTTTTTTAAAATAATATTCATTTCTTATGTATACAGTGTTCTATCTGCATGTTTTGCCTGCAGGCCTGAAGAGGGCACCAGATCTCATTACAGGTGGCTGTGAGCCACCATGCTGTTGCTGGGAATTGAACTCAGGACCTTTGGAAGAGCAGCCAGTGCCCTTAACCACTGAGCCATCTCTCCAGCCTGGGGCCTGTTTATTTCTCAGAGAGCCATTCATGTCCCATGCTTTGAAAGAGATCAACAGTCAGCAAGATAACTCGTTTATCATTGTTTTTTCTCATTTAATTAGTTCCTTATCTTCTCCCTTCTTTCTCCATTCCTCTCCTCCCCCTTCCTTAATACTGTGTACCTTTTGCGGCCCACAGCATATACCTGTCATTCCCACAGACTCTGAGTCTGCATTTGAGCTCAAAGATCCCTCTATTTTGAGAAGGAAGTGGAAGAGGAAATATTTGCTGTCACTACACCGGTATCCTCAGCCGCTCACCTATGTGGTCCAAGTCCCAGTACGTGATGTCGGATTTCACTTTCCCATCTCCATTCTGAGCTTCTACTTGCACGCTGCAGTTGTCTGGGGGTAACACACACGGTGGGAAAAAGGAGCACGAAGCCTTCGTGGTATAAGCCGTGCAAATGCTTTTCCCAAAGGAGCTTTGGGAGAAAAAAGGAATTCAGCGTGAGGTCAGTGGAGAAGTTTGAAGACAAAATCACGCTTCCCAGTACTAAGCAGTATGTGTTAGTTTTGCTTGGTTTTCTCAGATTTGTGTGGTCCAGGATTTGGTGCATCTCTATTCTAAGGGTACCCGCTTCTGCCTGCCTACCTGCCTGAGATGCTGTGAGCCACACAGACCTGGAGACCCAGCAGACTCTCTGACAGTGCCTTCCTACCATCAGAAACAAGGAACAGAGTGTTGGAAGTCCAGACTATAGTCAGAATATTAAAGTTAGAGTCTTAAGGATTTATCCTTTCAAGTCAGGCGGTGGTGGCACACACCTTTAACCCTGGCACTCAGGAGGCAGAGGCAGGCGGATCTCTGTGAGTTCAAAGCCAGCCTGGTCTACAGAGTGAGTTCCAGGACACCCAGGGCTGCATAGAGAAACCATCAGAGGGTTTGCTAAATAAATTATTGTAAATATAAATAATATTTAAAATTATAGCTATTATTATACTCATGGTTACTGATGTGGAAAGATACCCCATCTTCTAATAGGGTATGTAGCATGTACGGAATGATCAGTTTTATGAAGACATACATTTATGTGATTTGTCAGAGACGCTTGGAAAGCTCTTCATAAAAATGTTTAAATTATTGTCTCGTTATGGTACATTTAAAAACATCTGTATGTTTCATGCTGAATTTTTTTTACCATTTACATATATTTTTAAAAACTCATTAAGATAGATTGCTATACATACAGATAAAATATTGATAGAGAGATGATAAACAGGTGACAGAGGGTAGGTGGATGTGGTGATCTGGATGAAAATGGCCCCAAGGGGTCAAAAAACTGCAAGGCTTAGTCCCCAGCTGATGAACCATTTGGAAAGGACTAAGAGATGTGTCACTGGGGGTGGGCTTGAGGCTTCAAAAGCCCACACCAGGCCGTGTGTGTGTGTGTGTGTGTGTGTGTGTGTGTGTGTGTGTTTGCTCTCTCTCCTCTCTTCCTCTCCATCCTCTCCCATCTCCGTCCTCCCTCGTTCTTCCCCCTCCCCTCTTTCTGCCGCCTCCTCTCTCTTTGCTGTACACGTGGATCAGGATGTAAAGCTCTCAGCTACTGCTCCAGTGCTATGCCTGTTACCTCCCTGCCATGACGATCATGGACTGAGCCTCTGAACTGACAACAGTACCTTAAAAGTCAGTGGCAGACTGAGGCAAACCCTCTTAGTTCTTTTCCAGGCCACAGTTACCCTATATCTGGATCCATGAAGAAAAACAGTTGCCCAGGTCTTTCTAGGAAAGAGTCTGACCAAATATGGTAAATGAAGACTTTCCCACTACGCTCCTGACTGGAGACCACTCTCAGCCACTCTGAATGTCTAAGGGCAGAGCCCCATGTGGTGATCACCCCCCTTGCAGCCTCAACCCTGTCAGCATAACTGCAAGGAACTAAGATGCCACCTAGTTAGTGTGTAGATGCAGCTGGCATGCACAAGCTGTCACTGAGAAACGCCTTCCTTCTAAGTGACTTGACTCCTGGGCGAATCAAGAGCCTCTGCTGCCTACTGAGAACGTGCGTGTGCGCACTCAAGCGTACACACACACACACACACACACACACACACACACACACACACACAGTCTTTGCCCATGCTGAGAGCACACGCACTTCCCACACTCACTAAGTCAGCCTCACGGTATAGTTGGTGCCGCTGGTCTCCTCCTCTGGACTCCATGTGCAAGTCATATTTTTGTTGAAGTATAAGATGCAGGAAATGTTCTCGGGGTTAGCTGGCAGAGCTGGGGAAAGTCACAGAAACACAACTTTATTGCGCAAGAACCATTGCTAGCACTTGATAGTTTAATCAATGCCTTCCAAATGCCATTTGCTAGGTAGAGTCTCCTAATCAGACTCAGGAAAAGTCTGTCACGTCAGATATTCCCTTTGAAGAATTAGATTTCTACTTAAAAAAAATACCTTTTACATTCCTAATAAAAATAAACACTTAGAAGCAAAATCTGTTGTAAGTAAGCATTAGATGCATGTGAACTACTAAGCGAGGCATTAAATGAACTCCTCCGAGTAAGTGATTATGATATGGACTTAAGAAAAATAAAAAATGCTGATCTATGCATCAGCCATTTTTCCTAAAGAGAACATGTCTTAGAGCTGATGTTCCTGGTAGCTCCCCACTGAACAGGAGAAACACATGATGTTTCATTCAAAATGGGCCTAGAGCCCTAAGGGTTCCCTAAGTAGTAGAATTTACATACTCATAAGCAGTAATGGGAATACATTATACTGTCAGAACATAACCCAAGAATGGAGCTGTGTGAGAATTCTGAGTGCTGAGTGTTTTCATGCTCAACACTTTCTGAGTGTTTTCATGCTACTCCCAGGTGCAGCGGATAGGAGTGAGTTTACATCAGATTATTCACTACAACTGGCTGCTGTTATTTGTCTATATGCCTCAGTGGAAAAATGTGTTTTTGCCATGTGTAGCTTGTCCTTGTGACTGGACACTTTACTCAGGTGACTCCTCTTAATCCTCAGAGTATAAATTGTCTGATGCTCTGAATAAAGTTGACTATGGCATGAGACTTTAGTCCACCTCCTTTATCGGCTCCATTCTCCCAGGTCCCACCACCTCTAGACCGATGACATTACATCTTAATTTTTCACTCACCTAAGTGAAATTTAAAATTTACTTTCAGCGTGAATGTAGTCAACAAACTGTGGAAACAGAATCATTGCCTTTGGCTCATTGTTTTAGAAATCACAATTTTTAACATTTTATTTCAGTTGTAGATAACATGAAATATAAAATACCAATGTTACAATTTCTAGGTTAAGGTAGTGACTAGACCTGGTTATTGTTAGATATAAATTAATTAGAGCTTACTAAAATACTTAGAATAAGTGTCGTAAATTTGCTTTTTTGAAAATTTGACTCCTAACATGTGGATTCCACTGTAATTTTACTTTGTGTTGATTTTTTTTTTTTTTGGTTTTTTGCATCTACACATACTATTTTGAGAAGGTGATTCATCAGCTATACCAGGTGACCATGGATTTCTTACACATATATAAATGCAAGAGCTGAGGGCAACTAAGGACAATGTTCAGCAGATAAGCTCCAACAATGTCCTCTGAACGTTTGACAAGATAATAACCTTTAAAGAGAAGGTATATTTGAGAGAGGAAATCAACTTAAGTTACAATCACATTAAACCAAAGCTTTAATGCTTCCTAGGAAGGAAGTCCTTATCTGACAAGGGCTAGGGAAGGCTGGGTTGGGGAGATGGTTCAGTGGGTAAGAGTGCTTTCTGCAGAAGCATGAGAACCTGGTTCGGTTCCCCAGCAGCTACAGAAGAAGCTGGGCAAGGCCACTCATGAGCTTTGAACCAACACTGGAAGAAGGAGATGGGAAGATTTCTGGGCCTTGCTGCCCACCAGCCTAGCTTAAGGGTCTCACCATAGGAGACCTGAAGGGAGCCAGGAGGTGG